GAGAAGCTAGTCCCTTACAGAGCCTACATTATTGAAATGATTAAGTATTTTGATGAGATCACTTTCAAGCATGTTCCGAGATCTGAGAATCATATTGCTGATGCCTTAGCCATGTTGGCTTCAGCGTGGAGGGTTCAATATTTCAATCATGCTCCTCTCATTCGAATCGAATGCAAGACCGAGCCAGCCTACTATCAGATGGTTGAGGAAGAAGCTGATAACAAGCCTTGGTTTCATGACATTAAGAATTACCTGCTCAAGCAAGAGTATCCGACTGATGCTACTAATCTTGACAAGAAAACTTTGAGAAGATTGGCATCCAAGTTCTTTATCATTAATAATGTGTTATACAAGAGAAATTACGACATGGTTTTTCTTAGATGTGTTGACAGACGTGAATCAGACATGTTACTTCAAGAGATTCATGAGGGAACTTTTGGAACTCATGCCAGTGGTTATGCTATGTCTAAGAAGATTTTAAGGGCTGGATATTACTGGTTAACCATGGAATCCGATTGTATCCAATATGCCAGGAAATGCCATAAGTGCCAAATTTATGCTGACAAGATGCACGTACCTCCTACGCTGTTGAATGTTCTATCTTTGTCGTGGCCTTTCTCAATGTGGGGGATTGACATGATTGGGGAAATTGAGCCGAAAGCTTCCAACGGTCACCGATTCATTCTAGTTGCTATTGACTATTTCACCAAATGGGTAGAAGCTGCTTCCTATACCAACGTGACCAAGCAAGTTGTTGCCCGTTTTATCAGAAAGGAAATTATTTGTCGTTATGGAGTTTTGAGCCGAATCATAACAGACAACGGTACCAATCTGAATAACAAGACTATAAAAGAGTTGTGCGAAAGTTTCAAGATCACACATCATAATTCTTCTCCGTACCTTCCTAAGATGAATGTGGTTGTTGAAGCTGCGAAAAAGAATATCAAGAAGATACTGCAAAAGATGGTCAAGACTTACAAGGATTGGCATGAGATGTTACCATTCGCTTTGCATGGATACAGAAATTCAGTACGAACTTCAACAGGGGCAACCCCCTTTTCATTGGTGTATGGAATGGACGTCGTCCTCCCCATCGAAGTTGAGTTACCTTTCTTAAGGGTGTTGATAGAAGATAAGCTTGAGGAAGCTGAATAGGTTCAAGACATATTTGATCAGTTGAATCTCATTGACGAGAAACGTATGACAGCTATGTGCCACAGTCAGTTATATCAGAAACGGATGGAGAGAGCCTTTGACAAGAAAGTCTGTATTCGTGAGTTCCGCCAAGGAGAACTTGTACTCAAGAAAATCTTTCCACTTCACAAAGACATGCGTGGAAAGTGGATGCCCAACTACGAAGGCCCATTTGTTGTGAAAACCGTCTTCTCCGGAGGGTCCTTGAGGCTTACAACAATGGATGGTGAAGAGCTTGCACATCCCATGAATTCTGATGCAGTCAGAAAATATTATGCCTAAAATAACCCTCTAAGTCGAAAACCTGTGCATGATTTGACTTGATTTTGGTCTGGTTAGCTTAAATTAAGGTCAAGGAAGCTAACTGAATGGAGAATTTGAGTGGAGATGGTGTGGAAATGAAAAATGAAGTTACAAGCTTAATAATTTAAATGGGATCTCAACAGGGTGAAATTGGCTATCAAAAGCTTAAGAAGTGAATGGAGAATGCTCCTCTGTTTATAGGGAAGTGATTGGGATGATGAGGGAGGATGAATGATAAAAAAATCCTTGAAATCGTGCACACCTGTGATCATGTGAAATGTGTGACTTCACATGCTCAAAACTCACCTCAAACCTGCACTTTATGTGCCAAACTTCTGAACACATTGTAAACTTGATTAGGCACGAATTTGTAGCTTAATTTTAATTCTAATTGAGATTATAATGAATCACAAATTCTGATCATGGGTGAAAATCAACTTCAAGTGACCATGTTCAAGGTTATGGGTATCTTGTACACGAAGCTTTTTGTGTTCATTCTTTTTGCAACTTGTATATTTCATCACAAACTTCACAATATGCTAAAAAAGTGTTGATTTGGATTGTTGTATCAAAATTTATGCCATGTTGAACTTGGAAAAAACACACTGATCATAACACTTTGAAAATTCTAAGTCCACAAGACAGAAAATGACCTATAATGTTTCAATGAATTCCATGGCCTTCCAAGCATAATTTGGTCTTGATTCTTGAAGCAAACTTGTAGATGGCATAACAAAGATTATTTTGTAAAGATAATGGGCTTCAAATGATAAAAATTGATGAAGTTATGATTCTTGAAAGTTGGAGAAAAATCACTTGAAATTAGGTCTAAGTCCAAAATGACCTATAATGTTTTCAAATCTTTGATGATCTTCCACACATAATTTTCTCTTGACTTGTAAAGAGAAATTGCCGAGGGTGTCAAGGAGAGTAATATGCCCAAAGGATCACTCAAAAGTGTTGAATAATGAAGAAGTTATGTCCTTTTGACCTTAAACTTAAAATGTTGACTTTTTGGTCAACCTAACTTTGAATCCACTTGCATACTTGATCTTTTCTTGTATTCTAAGGCATGATGAATCACATATGAACTTGATAAGATCTTGCTTGAACTTTGATTGATCATGGCCACATTTGAGGTTACTTGTTAAGAAAGACATGGAAATAAACACATGAACCTTAAAATCTCTTGAACAATAAGTAACCAAATCCTTGGGAAACTTTTGATCAATTGAACTAGAATGACACTTGAAGATGGTATGACCCAAGATTATAGGTCAATCCCCTAATGCAGGAGCTTTGAGAATCAATGTTGACCACTCTTTAACTTTATTCAGATGAAAATTCCAATTGAAAGGACCTCAATCACTTTTACTTGATTCAAACCTCCTCCTAGCAAAAAAATGAAGGAAGACAAACATATATTGGATATAAACAAAGTTTAGTAAACATAATAAAAATATCTACAAACAAGATGGGTGCTTGGTGATCTCAAAAGTAAAGCCTCAAATGATGAGAGGAAACAGGGGAACCAATATATGATCTTGTTTGAATGCAAATATGCAAATTATAAGTGAGATTTTAGGGTTAAAAATTAAGGTATTACAATTTCTAATCCTAACTCGGTCGAAAAACATAAAAATTGGCCAAAAACTGCCCCAAAACTAATTACTTTCTAAAGTCTGAAACTAAAACAATTTTTTCCGAGTCTTCTACACTCTGAATCTACTTTTGACTTCAACATTAAACTTTTAGATTATCCTTTGAGCTTTCCAACGTCTGTTAGAACGCGTCAATCTGATTATCATAGACTAAGTTATAACTTGCACAGGGAGAGGGTGTAAATAGTTGTTTATTTAAAAAATACCATACAAAATTAAAATAAACGTAACAATAAACTAAGCTAAGAAAACACACTAAAATAGTAGAAATAACAAAAGACACCTATAATTGTTTCAACATAATAGTGAAAGAATGTGCATTAAAATGCATTGATCATTAATCCTCATAGTTATGATTGATTTTCTTGGTTGTGTCAGCTGAGGTGACAAATTGTTTTAGACATTCTTTTGTCCCTAGGATATAGCCATCGAGTTTACATCCTCTAATCAGTGGTAAGAGCAATGATTTCCATAGCAGATACTTATCTCTATCCAACTTGACATAAACTATATGAGGCAAGGTCATTTTTCTGGTTTGAGTTTGCAACAATGACATGATTAGTTTGGCTAGATCGTGGCCTTCAGGCTTAAGTGCTCTAGTACTAAAAAAGAAAATGCTACTATTTGTTTTTGTATCATTACATATACCAGGTATGCTTAAATACATGTAGTGATGTTAAATCACGATCCTAGGATCATGTTAATGGTAATTACAATAATTTATATAATAATGTAGAATGATATGCATTAAAGGTATTGATCAATGATTACTATAATTAAGGATCAACATATCAAAGAAATAAAGTCATGATCCTTAATAGTAAATTATGGATTCTGACTTTTCTCTATCCCCGCCATGGTAGTGCAAGCTTTCTCCAAGCCTTCCTTGGTGCCTTGGAAAGTAAGGATTAGGTGGAAGGTTTGCACAAACTTTTATTTTGTAAATAGACAGTTTTTCATTACTCACATTTTTAGAAAAGAGAACTCACGTGTAGGTTTTTTTTTTAAAACTTAGAACTCATTTTGAATTCTCTAACCATTTTTATGCCATTTTACAAAATAGACTAGGGTTTCTTTTCTTTCTTTATATTCACTTTTTTTAGATGGGTTTATGGCTTTGTCCATCCTATTTTTTGTAATCTCCTTTCTTTTTCAATATATGAGACCTTATTAAATGACATAATTATATCAACGGTCTTTTAAGTTATTTGTTCGTAATATATTGACTTATAAATTTTTTTGTAACAATTTGGTCCTTTAAATTAACAAATATGTTGAATTAGGATCTTAATTTATGTATTTAGGATGCTATTTATGTAGTATGGTGCAACTTTAAATTTAAAAAAGGTTAATAGTGCACATATTTATTAACTTAAAGGATCAAATTATTACAAAACAAACTTAACCTATTACAAACAAATAACTTAAAGAGCTATCATTATGCCTAAAGAAAATCAATAACAAACGTAAGTAGCATGTTGATAAGAACATCATCTATTGAAATTAAAAAAATAAAAAATAATAATGAACCTTAGAATACTATAAATATATATCTTTGAAGTAGAAATAAAATTGAAAAAACAAAGATTGTGGGAAATTGAAGGATGATAAACATAGAAAACTTAAAAAAAAATTATAATCATGGAATCACTTCAGTGTAATTTTACAATCTCTTAACAGTTATAGAGTGCATGAATGGATGTACAATTTATTTTGCAAAACATGGTAATATTCCCACTAACAAATATGCTTTCCATCATAAATAAAGAAAATCAAAATTCTTAATCAATTAATAACTTTTTAAACTAAAATAAGATCAAAAAATTTAAGGAAAAAAACTTTTCATGATCCACTTGTGACACTACCATTAAAAATTTCAATGGTATCGCCCTCACAAACATGATGCCATTGAAAAGACTTATCATCATCCATAACATTTTGCTTATAAATGAAAAAGTAACCTTCTTGTGGAAGATGAAACTGAAGCCTTTGACTCAATTTAGGAAGCACTTTTCTCAATTCTCCAACATTATCAGAAACATTCATTGCAATAGCTATTTTCTTTGTACCATTTTTTGGCAAAATCATTAGCTTCAACATGTTCGATGCTCTTCCACCGCCTCCACCGCCGAGAATCGCAGGTGTAGCCGGTATCTGTGGCTTAAAACTCACCTCAATTTCGCTCTTTTCCGAAACATTGCAATCACGTAAGAACTCATTATCATGCAATTCAGTTCCGTTTGAATGCAACATGACATTGCTCAATGGAACATCGTTTTGATCAATATCGTTAATTTTTTCTTTGAGCTTTAAAACCGTATAGTTTTTGTCGATTTCGACATGAATGGGAGATTTGGACGAAGGAGTTTTGACATTGAGGTTAAATTTGGTATCCTGCTCTCTCTGCAGTTTCTGATGATCAAGATCTACGGCGGCCACCATGAGATGAATGCGTGAGTTTTGAAAAATCGCACACTTCCAAATATCGCCGTCGTCTTGAAGAATTTCACCATTGAAAATTAGGGTTTGCTTGGAGATTGGAATTCCTTGATACTTTTGAATTTTTTCTTTAATTTCTAAAATAGTGTCGAAAAAACCTACTTCAATTGAGAATGGTCTTCCTCCTTGCACTTCAAAAGTTACGTCCATTTTATATAACTATAACTCTATTTAATGATAAAAATGAGAATATTTTTTTATGAGAGGAGAATCCTATATATATATATATATATATATATATATATATATATATATATATATATATATATATATATATATATATATATATATATATATATATATATATATATATATATATATATATATATATATATATATATATATATATATATATATATATATATATATATATATATATATATATGCAAGAGTGAGAATTTAAAGAATAAAATCAGCATAATTCAATTAATTAAATATGTTCTAACACGGTAAAATAAGCTTTATGAATTTACCACTTTTATCATAAATATAGGAATCAAATTCTAGGTCAAATTAAGTGAATAGAATAAATGGAGTGAAATAAGCACTTGACTAAGCACATTAAACAACTCATTACCAAAACAATAGAAAATATTGTTATATGGAAGAGGAAATCAAGCATGAGCTAACTAAAACATATTTTTATTCTATAACTTAAAATAAATAATTCAAAAAAAATATAACAATTTCTATCTATTTCAAAAGTTAATGATAAAATTCGGAAAAAAAAAGAGGTAATATTTTGGATATCAAATCTCTTTAATTATAATACAAAAAAGAAAATATTTAGATCGTTGGGGATTCTGCAAATGTTTACTGTCGATTTTTTTCTCTTTAAAACGTTGATTTGGCACACAAGTGTTGGTTATGAAGTAATATGTTAAAAATACATATCAAACTCTAGTGTTTTGAATATGCAAAATTACTATTTATATAGATTTGTTCGATTTAATAGTAAAAATAAATCTTTTTATTGATTTTTCTGCTTACCTATAGTTTTTATTTGTATATATTTTGAATCATTCTATAAATTATTGACAAAATTATATTAGAGATTCTTTAGAATGCGTTTGAAATTGAAAGAAAAGAATTGCATATTTTTTTTCTAAAAATATGAGAAACTTTTAAGTGTATAGATTGAAAGAGAAGAATTTTATTATATCAGTTACTCGATAAATATCCAAGTTACCAAATACCAGAACTACAATCATAAAATCACGTTCAATCTATAATTTCACCATCCTTTTTAGTACTAGCTAAATCAATAGCTATAAACACGAATAAAATTTGAGGTGCCAAAGCAGAATTATAGTAAAAATTAGAAGAAAAATTTAGTTAGAGTTTATAAAAATAACATCGCACAATATGTGAAAATAGCATTACTCTGTCTTTAAGAGCATATTTGTGAGTTTTTGAAAGAGAGTGCTTTTAACAACTGTTATGTTTATATTTTTTTATATGTATTTAATGATATTTTAGTTGAAAGTGAGAAAAATACATAAAAATGGAGGTTAAATTATGTATGTTAATTCTTTTTAACATACGTAAAACCAACTTCAGAATCTCAACAAGTCCAGAATCTGATCGGAGTGGTTAACAGTGGAATGAATAATATTTAGAAGTAAGAAACAAAACAACACATAGAGTTATCCTAGTTCCTCTCCTAAACAGAGAGTAGTCACGTCCCCTTTTCCAAAAGATATTTTCATTATAATAAAATTGATTACACTTTGCTCAAATAAACTAGCAAGAGATTTCAACTACTCAATTATACTAGAAAGAGACTTTTGCTAAATTAAACTAGCAAGAGACTTCTGCTCAAGCACACAGACAAGAGACTTCCACTGCTCAAGCAAACCGGCAAGAGACTTCCACTACTCAAGCAAACTAGCAAAAGACTTCCTTTATTCTAAACAAATAAGTTAGGAGAATAGATGACAAATATACTTGATGTATAGTCAAAATTATGGAAGAGATACAACAACCACAAAGATTCTTAACACTTAAGATTTCTAAGATATATAAAGGTAAGAAATCTTAAGAACTTGTGCAGTAAATAGTTATGAAAAACTTTAGCTCAAAGTTATGCTCGTTGTTGCAGTGGAAATAGGATAACAAACTATTAATTAGTTTGAATCACAATTCTTGATTCACAACCGCTCTTTGATTTGTCCGAAGGAAAAGGTCAAAAGAGGGGAAAACTTATTTTTCGATTGTAAACACAATGCGGGAAGAGACCTAGGTAAGAGGTTGGTTAAGCTTAGGGAAGTTACTAGCACCCTAAACTTCTGTAGTACTCTACATGAACCTTTTGTTTATTGTATGCTTTTTTTATTTTTATTATCTGCTTTAGGTATATATACTGAGCTAAGGGATAGAGTGACCTAAAAGAGACCTAAGGGTTAGTCCTAAGTTTACTCGGCAAGATTCGCATTTTGTGCCTACGTATCCTGAATAGGGAATGGAATCAGAGTACGTAATCGTAGTTCCCCTCAAAAGGGAGGTTAAAAACTTCTTGACTATGGTCAAGGTTTCAAGGAGAGTAAACGTATCTTATGAATAATATGGAAAAAAGTGAAAAAATAATATTTTTAAAAAACTAATTTAAATAAAATACGAAAATAATAATTAAATAATAAAAAAAACTATTTTTGTTATTTTTTTTATGAAAATAGAAAAATTAGAATAAAGCAAAACAAAAAGTGAAGAAGGTGGGATTTGAATTCTCGACCTTTCACACTCACAACTCCTTACACATAGTCTCTTGTCAATTGTGTTATTTTATTCCTTCAAAATAAAGTGGCACTAGAAACCCTATAAACTAAAAGAGCGCGCCACATGATATTTTCCTGCAACAATCAACCAACTGCACAACCCGTTAGTGGTTAGTTTAAACGCAATGCAAAATAAAATGGGATGCAAGATGAAACGACTAATCTTAGGGCAAAATTTGGGGTATTACAGTTGCCCTTATTTAAATAAATAGCTTCACCGGATGATTTGAGCGACGAAGGCTCGAGAAATCATGGTGGAGGGGTTTAAATATAGATAACCGAAAATTTTGCCCTTAGATGCAGTGATATGCAATGCTATGGACAAAACGAAAATAAACTATAATGTTGACAATGCCATGAATCTAATATGATGCGTATGATGGAATGAAGAATGCAAAGATGCAGACGACACGACGACACCGGGGACAGACGCGACGAACGAACCACACTAGGGAATACGACGCACTGGGGAAACAACACGACACCGGGGAATTCTAAAGGGATAGTCAATTGGTGCTAACACGACTAATTGTCACTTTTAGACAAGGAAAGGTAAGAAAGAGATCCACAATGAAGATGGTACTGGTGAAACGGCCTCCACTGGGGAATATCTAAGAGTAATTATCAACAGGTTCAAGCGTGCCCGGCTGATACTCTAGAGTAAAAGTAAAACTGGATTTGTACGACTGTAGGAGCGATTAACAAGATCCTGGAGCATTGAGCAAAGAATAACATCCGAGCTTTTGCAAACTCTCCCTCGTGACAGGATCAAACGGAATTTAGGAATCCGTGGAAAATATACAGGGTAAAATCGGCTGTATGCCAAAATAAACGGACTTTAATGGGAAATGCTCTAATAAGCTTTCTCGAGAGAGAACTGTCACTTATCGTCGGAAGGGACTTATATGTCGAACTGGATAAGCTCTCAAATAAAGAGAGTGTTGCTTATTTGTGGGTAATAGATGAATAATTGATTGATAAGCTCCACTGGAGGGACTGTCGCTCATCGGGTAAAATGAACTTCCTCATACTTCAAGATTTTGTGCTCCCCGGAATACGATTCAGCTCTTTCTTTTACTAAAGGATAAAATGAACTTTCTCATACTTCAAGATTTTGTGCTCTCCTGAATATGATTATGCTCCTTCTTTTACTAAAGGATAAAATGAACTTTCTCATACTTCAAGATTTTGTGCTCTCCTGAATATGATTCAGCGCCTTCTTTTATTAAAGGATAAAACGAACTTCTTCATATTTCAAGATTTTGTGCTCTCCTGAATATGATTCAGCTCAAACCTCCCCGTACTTTAATCATGAAAAGGAAAATGGAAGCTCAGCTGCTTGATGGAGATGGCCATTTGCTGCATGTCACAACGAAGATAGGATAAGCTCCTCAGGCGAGAAATACCACTTTGATAGGCTTCTCGGATGAGAACTGCTTGTAGAGGTGGTAACAGGTAATGTAAATTGTAATGAAGATTGCAATGAAGGTTGTAATGAAAGAACAGTGTAAATTGTAATGAAGGTTGTACTGAGCTCCTTGTACGAGAAGATCAATTGTAGAGTGTAATGAAAAATTGCAATGAAAATTGTAATGAAGGTTGTAATGAAAGTTGCAAGGTAACAGAACTGGGCTAGAAAGAACTGACGAACAAGTCTCCATTGAGGAAACAAACTCGAACGGGACTATCTTACCTAATGTGGAAAGGTAACTGAAATAACCGTCCACGAGGGATGAACTCGGTGGGGAAACTGGAAACAAATGAGTATTTTGTGCTTAGGACTGACGATCTACTTGGAGAGAGCGGACAAACCCAGTTACTCGGCGGTAACGATAAAGGATGGCGATAAATAGCAAGCTTGCACATGCTAATGCGTATGTCAATGTGTATGCGAATGTGTATGTTCATGTTTTTGAAACTGTCATGCAATGAGTATGCTTATGCATATGCTGACAAAACAAGCGAGAGAGGAGACATGAGATGAAATAAACATCTCGACAGGAATACCCGGGGACCTCTGCACAGTACATCTATCAGGGGATAGGAAGAGTTAATGGTAGAACCAAATCTTGCTTCAATTGCCTCAAGGTTCTAACTTCCTTGGGGAGAAAAATCTCATGAATTCCATATGGGGATACGACCTCACTGGAGAGTATGATATCATGACTTCAACTGGGGATCCATGACCTCCGCATGGGGATACAATGTCATGACTTCATGGGATGGACTGCTATCATGAACCATACTCAGCCAAAGAACTCTTGGATCAGAGACTTCTGGGGATAAAATAAACATTCGCTTCGTGGGGAAGATGAGGAGCTAGGCAGTCTCATGGAGATAGTGTAGCAACTTCCTGGAAATAATACCTCGGCTTCC